TGACATCATGCTTATATCTCTCACCTTATTTCTAGGCATTGCCCCTCTCTATTCCTTCCGTAATCTTCTTTAGAAAAAACAGTCTTGAAGCAGCACAGCCTACAGCTCCCTGGCTCCTTAGAGCCTCACAGGCAGGCCTTCAGGACTAGGCACCTGTTTGCCCTTCTGGAGGCTGGGGAGATTTGGTTATTGAGGAATGAATGTAGAAGAAGGCATTAAAACACTTTTTTTTTTTTTAAGATTTTATTTATTTATCTGACAGAGAGACACAGCAAGGGAGGGAACACAGCAGGGGGAGTGGGAGAGGGAGAAGCAGGCTTCCCACTGAGCAGGGAGCCCGATGCGGGGCTCGATCCCAGGACCCTGGGATCATGACCTGAGCCAAAGGCAGACACTTAACGACTGAGCCACCCAGGTGCCCCTAAAACACTTCTCATAGGGCTGTTGAGGTATGGAAAAATAGCCTTGTTGAATGGGATGGGCAGAGATGGATCTCCTCATTTTCTACTTCCTAGATTGCTCTACTTAAGATTCTGCTGGCTGCAGCCCCCACCTCCAAAGCCAAGACAGACTCTATCAATATCCTCGCAGATGTCCTGCCTGAGGAGATGCCGTGAGTGCTTCAGCTGGGTTGGCTGCTGAATGCGAGCTGTTTTGTCTATAGCATCTCTCTTGTCCCCACCCCACCTTGATAACAGAGGGATTGTCAGCAAAGAGATCTCCTCTCCCCTTTCCACTGCAATGCTCTCTGTTGGGTTCTTTTTAGCTCAAAACTGATGGTCTACAGGGCATCATCAGTGCCAGTGACTGGTTGCATAGGTATGTGGGTGGACATTGCCAAGAGATGAGCTTGCCAAAGGAGAGAGAAAAACAAAAAGAGCAAAGGAGCTTTTCTCCACACAGGCTCGTAAGTGGGAACCCTGGAGGTTTCCCTAGTACAGAAGTTCAGATCTCCCAAGTTCTGGCTCTCTTGTATACGTTGTCTCTGACCCAAATACCTGGGTCCTTGTAGGCCTCTCTCTAAGGCTACTCTCTGCCCTCACTCCTCTCCCCATTGTAGCATCACTGTTCTCCAGAGCATGAAGTTGGGCATTGATGTGAACAGGCACAAGGAGATCATTGTAAAGAGTATCTCTGCCCTGCTCCTGCTCCTCCTCAAACACTTCAAACTGAACCACATCTACCAGGTGAGCAGCTAGCAGCACTTCTCCACAGGTCTCAGGTGTTCTCCAGGCCCTGTCTCCCAAAGAGGAGCCTAGGGGCCTTTATAGTCCAGTTGAACATCTTTCAGCCTTTTCTTTGTCCTCCTTGGGGAATCCATCTACCTGTTGCACAAGCTTGCGTGGGGGTATGGAGTGGGATGTGAGGAACTGTCCTAGACAGGTGCAGATGTCTGTGTCCTTTGAATGTTATCCAAGGATTGTGGGTAGGAATCCTTGGCTTCTTGGGAATGTGCCCAGCCAGCTTTGAAGCAGTGCAAGACAGGATTCAAGCATTCCACAAAAAAAAGTGAGGAAAAACTATGTAGAAAAACTTTTCTATATGTGAAGCCCTTTTCTAACATTTGAGATATAATCCTAAATAAGGCATGGTTTTGGCTCTTAAGGACTTTGAAGTCTTGTAAAGGATATGGATATATAAATAGCTAATTATGGAATGGTAAGTGCATGATACAGGTAAGCACTGGCTGGTAATCCAACCTGCAACGGAGAAGAGGTGACTTTTAACCTGAGTCCTAAAGAAACAGATGTGAGTCAGGATATGGGAGTTGTCAGGGAAGGAAGATAGGAAGCATTTCAAGCAGAAATGTTAATCTATGGAAGTCCAGAGGAGAGAGAGCAAAGTACCTTTGGAGACTGTTTAAATGTTGCTGGAGTTCTCCCTGGGGTAAGGGGAGATGGGGCGGCCTGGTGATACATGGAGCTGGAGAGGATGGACACGGAGCAGATCATAATACATATGGTAGTACACAGTTGTTGAGTACTTATAATGTGCCCGGCACTCTCTTAAGTTCATGGGGGATCTCATTTAATTCTCTTAATCCTATGAGGTAGGTCTTATTTTATCCCTGTTTTATAAATGAGGAAGCCGAGCGTAAGAAAGGTTAAGAAGCTGCTTTCCCACGAAGGCATTGTTCACCAGGCTGAGGAGTTTGGACTTGGTACTGTGGGCATTGCCAAATATCAGGGAACCTGGGGGCAGGGAGTGGATGGTCTCTGTGGTGAGAACATGGGGAGGAGAGGAGGCTCCTCATGACTGCCCAGTGTCTTTGCCCCATTTTCCTCCTAAGAAGTCAGAACCAAGCTTGCTGCTAGAACAGCAGATTCTCAGAGTGCACAGAGGCTCCTGCAGGGTCTGTGTCCATACAGGTTTGACTATATAATCAGGGTATTTCTCCACTCTAGTACACTCAGAGACATCTTTGGGTATATTATGGGTGTCCTGGGTGCTCACACTTCTTCTGCCAGTGTTTGCTGAGCAACAGCAGGGCTGGGAGGAGTACGGGTGGGTGGGAGATAGTGTTCCTAGTAGAAAGAACAGAGAACCGTGGATATGTTTTTTCTGTCTGCATCTCTTGGTGGGCAGTATGTGGATCAACAGCCAGACAGGTGGGTGGCTTGATGGGCCTTGCCAGTGTGTGTCAGTGTCAGTGAATCCCTACAAGGCTACAGACAAATTTCAAGTTGAAAAACATTTTCCATAACTTCATAGTGGGTATGTATTGGCTGCTCCATCTGGAGCTTTGGAAAATACCCCAGGTCGGCTGCCAGGGAGAAAATATTTGAGAGGAGAGAAATGGGCAGCACAAGCTGACTCCCACCTCTAACCACACACCCAGGGGCAGAGGGCAGCTTGGCTTGCTGCCATGGCTACTTCTTGTGATCAGGAAAAGCTAAGGGATTTAAAACACCACAATTTTCTGGTTTTTCAACCCAGTTTCTATACTATCCCAGCAGTCTGGGTTCTGGATCTGGAGGCAAACTGTTTCTGATATTCAGTGCGTCACAGGCAAAATCCAGGTGTTGCACTCCAGGACACTGCCCACTAGGTCTTCCCAGACACAAACCCCATCCAAATTCAAGAGAGCAAAATGGAACCCCTATTTCTGGTGTTTATCCCATCAAAGAGATCTTGGACTTAGCCCATCAAAGAAATCTTGGACTTATTCTCAGTGTAGTATCTTTTTTTTTAAGATTTTATTTATTTATTTAACAGAGAGAGAGAGATCACAAGTAGGCAGACAGGCAGGCAGAGGGAGAGGGAGAAGCAGGCTCCTGAGCCCTCCAGGCACCCCAGTGCAATATCTGTTGACTGAAGGGCTCTTGTTGATCCATTCATTAAAATACTAATAATGGGGGTGCCTGGGGGCCTCAGTTGGTTAAGCGTCTGCCTTCAGCTCAGGTCATGATCCCAGGGTCCTGGGATCAAGCCCTGCATCGGGCTCCCTGCCCCGGCGGGAAGCCTGCTTCTCCCTCTCCCGCTCCCCCTGCTGTGTTCCCCCGCCCCTGTTAAATAAATAAATAAAATCTTTAAAAAAATAAAATAAAATACTAATAATGTAAGTACAGGGATAATGCAGTGAACCAGACAGACTCATGCTGGAGTCCACATCCCAGTGGTTCAGCTGGTTGCTATGTGCCTTATCCGTCTGGACTGAACGATGCCAGCAGTTGCTGGGAGTAAGCTGCACCTGTTCCTGCTGTATCAATCACTGCTGAAACACTATGAACCAGAGGTTTGGTATGGAAGACCGCTCCCTCAGGGAGCCTTCCTTTCTTGTTGAGCTTAGGAACAAATATTGCAGCAATTCCTTCTATTTATCTGGAGTGGGATTTTCTTTCTGCCTTGTTTATGTTTTGTGCTTTTGGTCAGGTGTTTACAACATACACACACTGCAGATTATCCCCCTCCATGCAGGTGAGCTGGCTGATGATGCTTCTCCCCACTTCTCAGACAGGAGGACTGATAACACAAGTGGACAGTGGATATTGTTAGGAATGGATATTAGAGTTGTACTTGCCAATCTTATTTTTCATGTGTACTTTCTGTTATCCCCCAAATAAGCAGCCCTTTCTGCTTTGATCTTTTAATTCAGTTTGAATATGTATCACAACATTTGGTATTTGCCAACTGCATCCCATTGATCCTGAAGTTCTTCAATCAAAATATCTTGTCCTACATCACTGCCAAAAACAGGTATGGACTCTGGACAGGTTTATTTCAAAGGTCTGTTTTGGGATGGGTTGGGAAATATACATCATCTCTGAGCCTTTCAGTTCTCCTTGTGTCCCTAGTCCTTTCTATCTTAGAGCTGTCACTGTTAAATTTAATTTCCTTGAAGTGTTAATTGATGGGGTGTGTGGTTTGGCCTCTTCACAGAGGTATTTGTATTTTAATAGTTTTGAAAACTAAAAAATGTCACAACTCAAATAAATAAAACTGCAACAATGAAATTTTAGCCCTATGGCAGAAGGATCCAGAAGATGTTTTTTTGTGAAACAGCCTTCTTATCTGGCCAGCCCTGATCTTAGTATAAATCATAAGTTGTAACAATTATACTACTTTGTAAACTGTAGTGTTATGTAGAATTTGCAACTCAAGGTAATTAACAGACCCTTATTTAGATCAGTTTGTAATAAAACAAATATATGGTATTTTATTTAATCTCCTCAGTAATGGTAAGAGGTATTACAACAAATTTTATTCTCACTTCACCAATTAGTAAACAAATTCAGGGAGGTTAATTGACTTGCTCAACATGCTAGTGAGACGACTTAAGTAAGCAGCGGAGGCAGGATCAAAACGCAGATTGTTTTCTGGTCACAATTACTATGAATACAAATTGCTTTTCACTCCTCCAGCCAACTGGGGACTTGGGAGTTACAGAGTAAATCCTTGTTTTTTAGTTTGCTACTTCCACAAGAACTAGAAGCATGTTAACTAGAGTTTACCAGAGGCAGAGTTCCTAAAGTAGAAGGAGGCTGATCTGATTACTTGGGGTGACTAGAGAAGGCCGGGAGACTGGTGCCTCACCAGTCTTAAACTGCCTAAAAGTTCACCATGGAGAGGCAGCCTACTTATATGTAGTTTAAAATACACAGAGGCACCTGGGTGGCTCAGTCAGTTGAGTGTCCGACTCTTGATTTCAGCTCAGGTCATGAGCTCAGCGTCCTGGGATGGAGCCCTGCATTAGGCTCCTCACTCAGCAGGGAGTCTGCTGGAGATTCTTTCTCTCCCTCTCCCTCCACTTTCTCTCTCTCTCTCAAATAAATTTTTTTAAAGCTTTTATTCATTTATTTGAGAGAGAGAGCACAAGCAGGGGAAGGAGCAGAGGGAGAGGGAGAAGCAGGCTCCCAACTGAGCAAGGAGCCCCATGAGGGGCTTGATCCCAGGACCCTAGGATCATGACCTGAACTGAAGGCAGACGTATAACTGACTGAGCCACCCAGGTGCCCCTAAATAATCTTTAAAAAATAAAATGAAGTGCACATACACACATGGAACTTGAAGTCATGAGACCTGCCATTTGCTAGCTATGTAATCTCAAGTAAGGACTCTCTGGTTTTTTTGAGCCACACTATTTTTATCTTAAAATTAAAATAATACATTTCCTGACTATATCATAGAGCTTTTATATAAGTATCAGTTAAGATAAACATATGAGAGTCCTGTTCCACATTTCCAGTTAGAGATCCACCCCTGGATCAATCAAGTATGGCCGGGGTTCACGAACTAAATACCCAACCTCCACCATGGGCCTGGAAGGGGAGGAGCAAATAATCTGATAGGTGTCCATTAGGTTCTATTTGGAATTGGAAGAGTGGTAGTGCCAGACTACATCATTAACTAAGTTTAGCCTGGATAAGATGGTTCTCTTCTGCACCACCTGCAAGCTTTACTGCGGCATAATCCCTGAGAACTTGGAACACCCATAGCCCCTTATTGCACACTTTGCTCATGGCTCTTACAATATAGAGATATTCCAGAAACTTGTAACTTTATTTTTTGCCCCCTTAGGCTAGAATTCAGTTCACAGAGGATGGAACAAATCTATCTTTGATTTTCTGCCCCCATTTCCTGGTTGCCAGCATCTACTTTGCCATGGGCCTTTGTGGGAGGTGGGTAGATAAGTGGATAAGCCAGCCAAGAATGTTTATACTAATGGAGCAGTAAGTACAGAACTGGCAGCCCTGGGAGAATCCAGTAGAGTGAATTAAGATGATGAGCAATGTTATAGGTAGATCCACTGCCCTCTCTTCTCCTACCTTGGTTATCATTGTGGGTTTCTTGGACAAAGGTAAACATTTCTAGGTAAATATATTGTTGCCTTTTGCTTGGATAGAGTTTTGACTTTAGAAATGTAGAGACAGGTCCAAGAAACCCCATACTCCTCTTTATGGCCCTTGCTTTGCCAACATCCTTGATCCAGTTCAGATAGGTTATAAACGTTATAGAATGTCAGAATCAGAAGGAGCATTAGAGATAAGCTAAATTCTGCCTTGTACCAATGAAAAAGAAAAGGAAAGGAAGAACTGTAATTTTGAGTAACTATGTCCCTGTCATAATGCAGTGCCTCATTTCCCCTACCTACTCTTGCCTGCTTCCCGGGGCTCACCACAGAGCCTCCAGCTCCCTTATAGTCCCCCACTGTCAGTTCTGGGGGCAGATGCTGTTACCATTCCTTTTTTTTTTTTTTTTTTTTTATGAGAGAGAGAGAACATGCATGAGTGCAAGCGGGGGTGAGGAGGGGTGGGCAGAGGGAGAGAGAGAGAGAATCTTAAGCAGGTTCCATGCCCACCACAGAGCCCGACATGGGGCTTGATCTCATGACCCTGAAATCATGACCTGAGGCGAGATCGAGTTGGACTGGACGCTTAACTGACAGAGCCACCCAGATGCCCCAATGCTATTACCATTCTTTTTTTTTTTTTTTTTTAAAGATTTTATTTATTTGAGAGAGAGAGAATGAGAGACAGAGAGCATGAGAGGGAAGAGGGTCAGAGGGAGAAGCAGACTCCCTGCTGAGCAGGGAGCCCGATGTGGGACTCGATCCCGGGACTTCAGGATCATGACCTGAGCCGAAGGCAGTCGCTTAACCAACTGAGCCACCCAGGCGCCCGCTATTACCATTCTTGAGCTACTAGATTGGCCCTGCTGCAGGAAGCTGCCTCCGTCTTAAGCTTCCTTCAAGAATGGCTTCCGTGATCATTTCCCAGAGCTCCTGGCTTTCAGAAACATTTGGTAAAGGACATAGGAATGGTCTTCATTTCATCCTCACGTCCACAGACTGTTACTAAGTGGGTTAAGTTTGGGCAGCATCTCTGGGAACACAGTTCACACGTATACACAAGCATACACTTAAGTACACAAACAGAAGTGCACCTGTGTCCGGACTCTTTACAGAAGAAAGGAGAGAGGTGGCTATACCAGAGGCTCTCTTGCTGCTTTCTTTTGCATCTGCTAGATGGGGGCTGGCCTGAAGGAACTCTGTGGGTTCCTCTCATGAGGAACCATGTGGTGCCATGGTTGCCTGGCACCACAACCCTGTTTCAGCTGAGGTCACTAAGCAATTTGGGAAATAGATGGGGCCTGCTGGAGAGAAATAATTCCTGTCATTTCAGGTACTGCCATTTCCATTTCCCTAAAGCTTGCCCCTTTCTTTGCATTTTGCAGCATCTCGGTCCTGGATTACCCTTGCTGTACCATCCAGGATTTGCCGGAGCTTACTACAGAGAGTCTGGTAAGCAGAGGGGGATTTGGTAGCTTTTGAAATTGCCAGATGGCAGCAGCTGGTATTTGCTCTTCTGTTTCTTCTCCAGCCTTGTAATGCCCTGGTTTGGGAGTCTCAGATCAATAAAGGCATATTGGCAAGAGCACAGAGGCAGTGGGTGTTTAGAGCTGCTGACCCAGTTGAGAAAAATTTGGGAAAACTGAGCATAGCAATTTGCAGAGAAGAGAAAAGGGTCAGTGACAAACACTAAGGAGGAGAGGGAATTTAGAAAGATAATGGGACTGAAATTGAATGTGAACATCTGTGCTAAATGGCAGAAGAAGCTCTACTGGTCTATTCCAAACAACGATCTGTCTCCTTTCCGCTATGCTATAGGGTATTCACTTTTCATTTTCATATAGATTATAAAACCCAGGAGTGTGTACTTCAGAAAATATCTTCCCTAGGTCTCTTTAAGCCAGAAGTTGGTAACAGCCACAGAAGAATGCCCCAGAAATTTCTTCATCCTGGAAACAACTTTAGGCAAATCAGAAAAGTCCCTCAGAATTACTTTGAATTCCATGAAACTAACTGATCAACAGCATACTGAAGATCAACTGTCTGCCTCCTTAGATATATACTCAAGTCCATACCCTCACCCTGTTGCATTGTACTTGGATATCTATCTGTTCCTCCATTTGACTAAAAACTATTTGAAGGAAGAGATGGTATCATCCTCAGTTTTATATCCCCAGAGTCTAGCACTATGTTTGGTACATGAAAGGAGCTCAAATACTAAATGATTGGATGGTAGCACCCATGTGTCCCACAGCCGTTTGCCCCCCAACTTTAATACCTGTGAAATGTTGCATCAGGAAAGTGTATTAGGCACAAATAGAATGATACCTTCTGTGGTACAGGTTTTATAGAACCATGGGATTCTTGGCTGGAGGGGACCTGAGAGCCATTTAGCTCAATCCCCTATTTCAAAGATGAGAAACCAGAAGGCCCAATGGATGAAGTGACTTGTCATGGTCCACTCCTCATAAATGATAGATCCTGAATTAGAAAAAGACCCATGTTCTAAGATATTAAGTCTAGCACCCTTTTTAGCATCAGGGCAGAGATTTCCTGTCTCACTTAGATGTAGTGGCCAAGGAAGCTGGGAACTTCTTATCCCTGCAGAGAGAAGTAATAAGTTGTCTAATAACCCTGTTTATGCACATGATGTTATTCAATCTTTAAAATAACTGTATAAGCTTGATATTACTGTTTTATAGATGGAGAGTTAACTGCCAAAACCTTACAGTTGAAAGTAGCAGAGCCAGGGTGGAGACTTACATCCCTGCCATTCAGAGTTAGAATGAAGAATGCACTTTCTCACAGAAAACAGTGGTGAACAGCATTAAAATGCTCCTATTAGTTGGGTATTTCAAAACATAAAGTTAGCTTTTATGGTTGAAATCTATTTCTTGATACAGTATTTTCTCTTTTCTCATCCCGTATGTAGGAAATTGATGGGAACTATACCTTCAAATCTCTTCTGATTTACCTTTGGGGATATGAATATAACATTATTGAAATAATTGTTATGCCCCTGAGAAGATTTTATTGTTATCCTTGAGCAGGTGAAAGCACTAACTATGCTAAATAAGAAACCAATTGGTGTTAGGTGTTCTTCTCCTTTCTGCAAAGCAACAGTGGCACCTGGTGGTTTCATTTGGTAACTACAGATTTTTTGTTGGCTTAAATTTACGGCGTAAGTACTTCCCCAGAGCCTAATCACGGGCTTAAGTAACTAGCAAGTTTACTCCACATAGGTCCTCAATATAATGGTTTGTTTATCTAAACTGATGGCTTCTGTACTCAGAGAAGACTAATGTTTATATGAGTAAAATGCTTCTCTTTTCCAGGCTCAGTAAATTAATTGTAAACAGAAAATATACTGGCTTTTATAAATGTGGAGGATTTTCTTTAAATAATATTTCAAGTTTTTTTTTCCTGGTTATAAAATCACTATATACTATTGCAGAAAATTGGATAAATACAGGAAAATATGGGGAAGAAAACAAAAATACCTTAATTATACTACCTACATGTAACGACATGTTAATATTTTCCTATAATCACCATATATATGTACATATTAATTCATATATGTACACACATACATTATTTAAGAAAATAAGGACTTTGTATGTTTCAATTCACATAATAAAATTTAAATATTCACAATGTGACTTTGAACTTATTTGAAAACTTGATTTTTAATAGCTACACATAATATTCTCCTTAATTTTTAAAAATGATTGCTCTCTACTAATGTTGGGCATTTATTTCAATATTCTCTGTGTAACTCCAAATTCTAAAGTCTTCCCATTTTGTCAAAATACTTAGCTCTACAATAGGCCATCCTTACCCATGTACTGAGAAGTTTCCCTACCCACCTAGTATAGGAAGGCTTACAATTTCTGTATCCCCAAATGTCTATATTCAAATTCAATCCACTAAAGTAGGAAAACATTAAATTCCAAATATGAGGGAAGGATAGTGAATGTATGGTTGTGTGGAAGATAGATAGGGTCTTTGGAAGGAGGTTGCTAGAAAAGGCAGTGGATATGTCTTCAACAAATATTGTAGAATGCTCAGTATTTTGATGGTTTTTTAGGGCAGTGGTATAAAAAGTAGGGTGTGCAAGATAATGCTTTGGGGGATGGAATATTTTGATCTTTTGTATGTATCAATATCCTTTTTACTTTCTATATTTATGTGTATATTAGAACATACGTAATGTCATTACAATAATGCATTTCTAACTTAGAAGTAAATGTGTATATTTAGGCGTACAACAAAAATTATTTACTGAGAGATATGTGCAATAAAAAAAATTTTTTAGAAACCACTACTTTAGAGTATGTTGAAATGAGGGTAAGGTTGTAGGTCTGCTTGCTTTGTGGGCTTATTGGTCCTAAAGAGAAATCATACAGATTACACTCCATCCTCCTTTCCTCTCCTATCTTACAGAGATTCGGGCCAAAAAAAATGTGGAAAATTCTGTGTAAATCTATTGTCACTGCTGCAAAGCCAACCCAGAGTTCAAAATGCTTGTTTTTTACTACAGAATGTGATTTAGCAACAGTAGCTTCACATACAAAGAAGGGCATATTTTGAACAATGTAGATGCCCAAGTAGGCCTATAAATTAAGAATGGAGGAATGAGAAAAAGTAGTATTTATGGAATCACTGAGTATCAGAGCTAGAAGATTCTTAGTATCTTGCCAAATCCCATCCTTTACTGATGAGGAAATGGGTAGAGTGCTGAAGTGTTGTCCAAGGCCTTAATAGCTAGGTAGAGCGAAAACAATGAGTCAGAATTTGCATGACCTAGCCATTTGCAAAGAAACATTTGGCATTTCCTTTTAGATATATGCAAGTGAAATTATTAAGTTAATTTTTAAAAGGCAGTTCATTGCAAAATTCCTCAAATTTGGGTTTGATTTATATTCAGAAAGACTTATAAAAACACATATCGCTTAAATTTACGTACCTGATCCTTTCATCTCTCCTTATTAAATTTTGTTTTTATAACTTCCTAATCCAGGTATTTTTGGATATTCCAGAAAACTTTTGTCATTCTTGTTTTGGTTTTTGTTTTCTTATTGGAATATAATCATGTTCAAGTATTAAGGTCTCTAGCATTCATTTCAGGCATTATTTAACCAATGATTTTATGACCTTATTAAATAAAGTCTTCTGACATTCACCATCACTATTTAAAACCAATATTGCCTTTAGCATTATTGTTTCTCTGTTCTAGATATAATGTGAACACATAAGGTATTTATCCATGTTCTATGACATGTCTATATAGAGGAAGGACCATGGATAAATGTTTTTTAACATTTTATCAGTTTTCCTGTTAAGTCACCATTTCTGTAATGGTTGTACTAGAGGAGATGAGAATCTCTGGAATTCTTTTCTTTTTTTTTTTTTTTAAGATTTATTTATTTGAGAGAGAGAGCGCATGTGCACACGCTGGCACATGCAAGTAAAAAGAAGAGCAGAGAGGGACGGAGAGAATCTCAAGCAGTCTCCATGCTGCACAGAGCCTGATGCGGGGCTCTATCTCACAAGACTGAGATCACTACCTGAACCGAAACGAAGAGCTGGAGCCACTCAACCGACTGCCCCACCCAGTCGCCCCTCTGGAATGATTTTTCAAACTCACATGCCCAGATCCCTCTCCAGGGCACAAATAGTTTGTCAAAACTCCCCAAATGATTTTGAGATTTTCTCTTCTCTTTCCTCCTTTTTTACTCACACCAGTTAAGAATTATAGCTCTCTTTTATGATATCTGGGTCCTTAATCTAGCAGTAACTTAATTGTCAGAAATCCATATGATAAGGGAATTATTCTATAATGATTTGGGAAAAAGTTTAAGCTAAAAATATGAATTCATTTTCAGTTGTGTCAACCATAATAATGGAATGAATCAAAAGAATCATTTACCGAGAAGTGGTTATTATTGTGAGTTTTCAATCAGTAAGTGTTAAAACCTAGCAAATATTTTTTCAAATAGGTTCAAATAAATGCAGGGCTGACATGGCATGAAAATCTGAAGCCTAAAGCAAAGAAATAGACTAGTTTGTAAGTATAGCAAAAGCAGGGGCGCCTGGGTGGCTCAGTCATTAAGCATCTGCCTTCGGCTCAGGTCATGGTCCTAGGGTCCTGGGATCGAGCCCCGCATCAGGCTCCCTGCTCGGTGGGAAGCCTGCTTCTCCCTCTCCCGCTCCCCCTGCTTGTGTTCCTGCTCTCGCTATCTCTCTCTCTCTGTCAAATAAATAAATAAAATATTAAAAAAAAAAAAAGTATAGGAAAAGCAGACAGAACTACAGCTCTAAGTTATCTTGAGCAAGTTTCCTGTAGGCTATAGGAGTTCCACATATAAAAGGAAGAGGTTGGGCCATCAGATGAGCATAAACTTTTCCAAAACTCCCATGGATTCATTATATAACAACCAAGCTAATAT